AAGTGCCTCCATCTGCTTCAGGAGAGTTCAATCAAGGCGAGCCGACTGTACGGTTTACCAACGTGGAAAGTCTCTTTTCCACAATCAATAGCACAGCTGGAGATATCCTCGTCGTCACACGTATGAATCACCTCTTTCTTTGTTTTCTGTATTGATAGTGTGCTGATTATGTAGATGTCTCTGCTGATGATTTCGCCGAGGTTATGCGTAAGCGCCGCGGGTTCCGGTTTCGCCGCTACAATAGTGTGTCCCGGATTCTTATCATTACGATCCCACCCGTCTTCACGAAGAACTCCACATCAGGCTTTACGAGCAGTATCGCGACCAGCTTGTCCAGAGCAATATTGGGGGGGGGGGGGGTTGGAGCTCAATCGGTACCGTGACATAACATATCGAGCACAAGGTCATCCCGGAGGAGACGGAGGAGAAGGTGATTTGACTGGCGGCCCAGATCCGGAGCGTGCCGGAATAGACGATTGGCCAACACTTGTTATCGAAGCCGGAGACTCGGAATCACTTGGCGAGCTTCATAACGATATGCGGTGGTGGTTTCGGACGTCAAACCACCAGGTCAAGATCGCCCTTCTCGCCAAGTTTGACCATTCTGACCGCGCCATCGTCTTGGAGAAGTGGGAGGAAGAACCACGAGGTAGTCGTCCAGGAGCTACCACGACACGACACGCTCCTGCCCTTCAGCCTACATGTCGGCAGAATATCACCATCTCTCGGAATACCACCGCTGACCCGGTATCGTACAATGTCACTAGGGGTGCATTAGTTCTAGGGTTCAGACTTCTTTTCCTTCGAGATCCAGGTCCTGGGGAAGGAGATTTTATAATAGCGTGCAGGATTTGCAGAACTACGCCGACAAAGTCTGGCGGTACGTGCGGAATTAGAGTCTCTGACAACCCAATAGTGGGACTTGCCTTTTCAGCAAGAAGTAATAGTATGCCTAGTTAGAGTGAGGGTTATACTATGCGGCTTGTTGGGAAATAGAAATGTAAGCCGGCTCATCCCCAAAAGGCAACCACGCCGGCCTCATTGTTCTTCAGCGGCCACATCTACAGTTGCCACTGTAGGGAGAAATGTGATGATATTGCTACCTAGGGTGTGAGATAGATGGTATGTGTAGTGCGTGGTGCAGGGAAAAGGCAGTGGCTGTCTGGGCAGTGGAGCACAGGCCTCTGTGGGCACAGGCCACCGCCAACAGCCACACTTTTCAATGGGGCCCAATGCCAAGGGCAAATTCGTCCAAAGTACCACCTCCTCGCCAAGCATGCCCAGAAGCACAGAAGCAATTATGCGCGGCGCCAACAAGCACAACCTGTGGGGCGCCTTAGCCAAAGTAGCAGATATCCATGCTATCATTGCTATGAAAACTATGCCAGGAGAGCTACAAATTAAGTCAGAAGATATCTTATAACTTGAGAGTAAAACAAGGTACCATAGCGATCGTCACTTTACACAGTAATCTCTTTATATAACGCCGGTAATATATAGAGCTAACCTTGAAAAGAGTACATTTATTAACTAATTAATATTTAACTTCTAGGATATTCGCCGTTAGCGACTAGTACGTAAGGGTTTAAGACCCCTATAAGGTAACTATAACTCTAGGAGATGGACGGTGTTTTCGTCCCAAATAGCCTTAAACCACTCTGCGGGTATATTCAAACTTGCGATTGAAGCCTACGTTGGTCTGAGCATCTGAGACTAATTCAATTATCCCTCGGCTCTAATAGGTTTAACTGATATTCTTTTTGAGGTCTTATTTACCAAAGGGATAAAGAAGAGAAGAAGAGAGTCCTAAAGGGTAGACGAAGCTTAGCCTTCTTATATACTATATATAAGATATAGGGATAGTTATCCCTTACCTCCGTGCCAAGGTATCTCTATAAGCGCTCCTGCGGCTAGGACGAACCCGGAGCAGTGGTATCGTGGCATCTCTCCTGGCACAGGATCTTCAGGCTGGCTAAGGCACACAGCCTAGCCGAGATCTAGGGACCCCCGGCCGCGAAGGATTTCCAACTCGCGGTCGTATACCTTGCTCCCTCCTAGGCCTAGACTCAACTGTCACAGCGCTAGCACGCAGCAGGGCCACAGCTGACACCGGCTGACAGGCCGGGCCATAGGCCAGGCCTGGCACTAGCTGAAGATCCCTGTGTCAAGATAGCCATGCGATGAATCTATTAGGCCAATATACATAGAAGAAACCAGTAGAAAGCGAAGGCCTAGATGGTTAGCCCAGTAGCTGGCTATACACCCAGCGCTTGCCGTGGAGGTCTCAAGAAGGTTGCGGAGCACAGTGAACGTGTCCCGTATTAACACACCGCTTGTAGGCGGAGGGAAATGAGCAGGGCCAGGGATAAGGATATCGGGCCATGGTGGTGGTGTTGGTGTGTCAAGGGTGGCACGGCTGCGCGCGCCAACACTGGGCGCGGCTGAGCCTGCTTCTATATCCATATCTAAGCCAGGGGGCGTGAGCGCTCCGCGTACCATGACGGCCAATCGTTGCGTGTGCGGAGCTCTATGCCGGTGGCTGCGAATCCTGGGTGGTGGCCATACTGAGCGCAGGAGAGTGAATGAGAGGATCAGAGAGGTAGAGAGCCAGAGAGTGCTAGCTAGAGAGAGCCGTGTAGGTATGTCGAAGTGATCGTGCGGATCAGAGAGGTGTTTGTGTGCACGTTGTGTGTGCTGAATCGCGTCACTTCCAAAGGTTACTGTGGGTTTTAGCGCCAGGCTCATAACTGTGATACTATTTAGGTGGAGGCTCACACACAGGATGGATTGAATTAGTTGTATTTTTGAAGATGAGGGTTGCAAGATTCAGAGCGCACACTTGGCTTGGCACCTGGTTTACGCGGCAACCTTCTGTCAATTTCCTCCCTGACGCATCTTCCAACTTCCCTAGCCCACCTTCCAGCTTCTTCCCGTCCCGGATGTCAAGTGCAGGGCAACCTAGTCCAGCTCTTCTGATGCTATGGTAATGAGGTGACCTAGAGGCTATCGCTTAAGAAAGCCTCGGGGAGAGCATCGATGCATTTTGGTAACTATCCTCAGCTTCGGGAAAGCAGTTCCGACCGACCGACCTGAACGGCGGTTGGCCAGCCTGTCTTCTCCAACGCCAGTTTGGTGAGCTCGACAAGCATGGCATCACTTCCTTTTTATCCACCAGTGAAAAGTCGGGTGGAGGAATGAGAGCAGATGCCCAACTTGCCTTTAGCCTCGGCAATAGTGGCGATGACTGGAACAAATTCCTGGCGCTAGCTGGTTTGGGAATTGTAGGCAAACTGGCCGACTAGAGGACAATGAGATACGGGCAGGGTGGTTGGTTGATGGAAGGATATACCAGGTGTGACAATCTGGGGAAGACCCGAAACTAAACCAAAGTACTCGGGCTCAAAGGATTTAACGACACCTGGCGGCCTAAGAGCCGGTGAGTACTCGGGCATTGTATTTGTTTGGCCAGAAACCTACCCGGTATCCACGTCACGGTAGTCGGGTTTGGAGTTCCCAAGCGGCAGAATGATCACCGCTTCCCCGTTGCCTTCGGAGTCCCGTGTGAGAACTTGCCGTTAGTCCACCCCCGGTAGACTTCGCATTCCCGGAGGCCCTGAAATCGCTGTGCCGGAGTGCCCTGAGCTCCAAGTTCCATAGCCAGTAGTCAGCAGACCATAGCTTGTAAAGGAGAGTAACAGGTTGTGTGCACAATTTCCACCGCTGCGATGGGCTGACGTAAACCTCCTTGCCAAAGCTTTGCCGATATCCTTCTCTTAAGTCGTCAAACGTGTGATAGTCGTCATAGTACATAGGCCAAAAGCCGGTCTGGGCTTCGGTCAGGAGTAGCACACTCAGGTCAGAGGTTGATTCATAGATTCTCGAGGTATTCCGCAATCGGCTTGCCCTCAGCAGCCATGAGTAGGGACTCTTTCCACATGGCAGCAAGGTTGATTTTGGTATGTTGGACACCAAGCACGTTCTCCATAGCCGCAAGAAACTTCTCGTTCAGCAGTTGCTGCTCTGGCATCTCGTACTGCATCCGGTAGCTGGAGATTCAGTGTGTTAGAGTATTCACTAGGAACCAAAGCACTCACTATCTGTTCCAATCGTGACATCGCACCACTCGTAGCCGGCTACCGTCACTCCATATCCTGAGGAGCTCCCGGCTGGGCAAAGATACCCATCAGCTCGGGGATTCCACGGCGGGAAATAGTCGATTCCTTGATTCGGTGGCTTTTCCGATCCTGCGAAGGCGTTCATCTTGGTCTTTCCGATGATGACGGCACCGATGTTGATCAATTTCTTAGTATAAGCAGCCGTTTCGGTCTGGGGTACATAAAAATTAATGTAGGCCTGGCAACTTAAAGACGTCTTAGCACCCTCTACGTGGACATTATCCATGACTGACAGTCGTAACCCATTCATGGCAGCTCTGGTGAAGGTGGAGTGTAGAGTCGAGAGGGTATAGCCACTGCAAGGTCGTTTCCATACATTAACGTCGTGAGGAGGGGCTCGAATGCGTACTTGCTGCTATAAATCGCGCTTGGTGAGCTTGCGTCTGGTCGCAATGTGTTTAGCCATAAATGTACCTCGATACTAAGCTCGGGAGAGTTGCCAGCACAAAGGCGCGCAAATCATCCGCATACAGCCTCCAGGCCTGGTAGACAGCATTGCCTGACCAAAAGTATGGACCCTTTGGCAGCGGTTTGCCATCTGGGACGAGGCGAAAAACAAGGTGAGAGTGATTAGAGCTGAGGAGCTCCACGGCAGTCCCGCGAGCCTTTTCAAGACCGTAGGAAGGTTCAAAAATATAAAGGTTCCGTGTTCGGCAAAGACTGGTTAGTAGACGTCATCTGCGGCCTCGAAAGTCCGAAGCTTTTCTGCCAGGAATGGGTTGAGGAAGGTTGGAGTAAAATGGTTTGGGATAAATCGAAAATGAAGACAAGTTTTCGAATAACTAAGTAAGGAACGGAATGTAACTTGGGACAAAAAGAAATGTTTGCGCCAGCCGCGAATTGAACGCGGGGCCCATCGATATTGCATTTTTATGGCAACGATGGATTTTACCACTAAACCACTGGCGCTGTTCCAGGTTGGGTGTTTGGATAAGCTTGCCTGTCGGTGGAATGCTCTATCCACAGAAAATTGAGCATTGTAAATTCTATGGGGTCGAGGAATCGTGAAGCCTGAATTCGAGCTGAGGGTATTGGCTGGGCAGGAGGAGATGGGTGGAGTGTGTGGCCCACTGCTGCAGTCCTCCACCTTCCCACATGCCGGCGACCACTTGGCAGGAGCATCCTAGTCCATGTCGTGACCCGTGACAGCCGATAGCACCCACAAGGAAATGTAGTTGGCAGAACAGAGGGGTTTGAGCATAACGATGAGGCTCCTGTACGCCCGAGTAGACAGTCGTCCGGACGAAGAAATAAGCAGGGTTTAGAGCTCAGCAACATTGGGGAGTCGAGCGTGCCGTTGGGGTGGCTGCGCGCAGCGTCAAGAAGGAAGGGCATCCGAGACAATGAGTGAGGGTCGATCGCTTCATGAACTTGTGCATCCGCAAGCTGTGTTGGTAAGTCCGAAAGTCCTCAAGGTATATACCAGCGGCGATCTCTTTGGAATCTCGAGATCCTAATCGGGATGTTTTGTACGACCGACTTCGGCCAGTTGAGGTATCGAGACTCCTGGCAGGGTCGACGCCTGCTGAGCTGGCATGCTTGGTGTAAGAGGGGACCGTAATCGACAGCCCTTTGTTCCGCTCCTTACCAAGACAAAAATGCTCATCTAGCGGTGACGAGAAAGTCAGTCAAGGATCAGCAATGGTACAGGTGCTTGGGAAGGAAGTGGAGGCCCCAGTCAACCTCATATCTGCCACTCACGATGGACAGAAGCAGAGCCATATTGATGTAGAATCCTCTGATTTCCGTCATCGAAACTTGTAGGTTAGTCCGTACTCCGGGGACTAAGGTTGCATTGCTTCATTGTCTCGTGATGATTTGCGAGTTGCATTGGAGTTACACCGAGACTTGCGATGCTGCAGCTTGGCAGCGGGAACTCGCATGTGTGTATGACACACAGGATGGATGGAAGCGAGGGACGACTCCGGGCTCTGACTTCGTTGACTTCGTTAGGTAAGAACAGGGCGAAGGCAGGTAACCAGAGCGAAGGAACACTGCTGTGTCACGGACTGGACATATTTCCCAGAAGCATTCGGCTCAATACGGCGGAGTTGCTTAGGGCCGATTTTGGGAGTGGATGGCGTCGATTACGGCGAGAAAGCAGCGGGAGAAGCAGGTACAGCAGGGTGCATCATCGCCCAAAAGCCACAGCCTGGGAAGCTGCAGGTGATGTGTGGGATGGCATTCTCAACTCAAGGCTCAAGCTGTCGGCACTGAAGATTGAGATGGGCCAATTTCCCCACTAGCTGCTTGGAAGAGTTGAGAATAAACTTCTTCCGGCACGATTGTGAGAGCACAGGTCGCAGCAGCTGCTGCAGGAAGTAATGCACACAGTGACAGCATTGCAGGTGCGATTTGATGGTTGAAATTTAGGAAGGAGGGAGCGATCGGGAATTATTGGATCGGACTATCTCCCGCCCTACGGGCACGGGCCACACACAATCCTCCCCACCACGAAGACAGGAGGCAGCTCACAAGAAATGCCAAGGAAGAACAGAAAAAGTCCAAGAAACTCCGAGAAAGAAAATGCCACCTCCGCTCTTCAGCCGTGCAGCAGCCCTGCATCAGCGCTGCAACCACCCTTCATGCACCGGCAGCTACCGAATCGCGCCCAAAACTTGCCTGGATCGCGCGGAAAGACAGTGCCAGAAGGCCGACAACTCTGGACTTGAATGCCTCCGATAGCGAGGATGGCTCCTCTTGGAGCGCTCCGGTCTGCGTCCGGTTCCTGGCCATGGATCGCATATATGCCATCGTCGTGCCACTCGCTTTCGGTCGTTATCGATCACAGTACCACCCTGAGCTGCCGGAACATTGTCGTCCTGTGGAATTTACAGAGATTACAGACGTTAGCGACTCACTAGTATTCCGCCAAGCGAATCAGCTATGCAGAACCCAACCCCCACAAACGCCTCAAGTGGAGAGAAGCCTGCGGGACTTCAACCACCAACACCACCAGCCCCGGTCGCAGTCCCGCACGGGAGACAGCACAGCGTCACGTCAATCAGCTCGTCGACGTCGTCCCTCTCCAAGGACAAGCGTCTCACCTACTCATCCACCGCCACCGACCTCGAGGCCCAGACCAATGAAGCCGACCAACAAAAAAGGCTCGGTTTCGTCCGTTTCACCCTTCTCAATGTTTACCGGCGGCTCTTCAGCATTGCCTTCATTGGCAATGCCATCGCGTTCATCATCCTCATGGTCTATGGTGCCGCACCGCTGGACCTCGTCAATGCCTCCGCCGTCAACCTCGCAGTCTGCGGCCTCTGCCGCCAACCGCTCGTCGTCAATGCCCTCTTTCTCATCTTCGGGTCCGTCCCACGATCGGCCCCGATGAGGCTCCGCCGCCTAGCCTGCAAGATCTTCCATCTCGGCGGTGTCCACAGCGGTGCCGGCGTCGCCTCGTGTTTCTGGTACATCGGTTTCGCCGGCGTCTACACTTATCAGTTCCATCCCTCGCCCATGTCCATTGCCGTTCTCGTTTTGATCTGGGCTGTGCTCGCCTTTCTGGTTTCCATCATTGTCGTTGCCCACCCCGCGTTCCGCTCCAAGCGGCACGACTACTTTGAACTTACCCACCGCTACTCCAACTGGGTCATTCTTGTCTTATTCTGGGCCCTCGTCCTAATGCTTGCGTCCCAAGACCCTTCGATGGGACTCTTCCTCGTCAACCTCCCAGCCTTCTGGATCCTCATCATCATCACCCTCGCCACCATCCACCCCTGGCTTCTCCTCCGGCGTGTGCGCGTCGTCCCCGAAGCCCTGTCCCCCCACGCCGTCCGTCTCCACTTCGACCACGCGACAGTCAAGTTCGGCCAGGGCATCTCGGTCGCCAAACATCCGCTGGCCGACTGGCACAGCTTCGCCAGCTTCACAGACCGTTTCGACAACCCCGACACAAAGTTTTCGTGTCTTGTGTCCAAGGCGGGCGACTGGACCCGCTCAGCCATCAAAGACCAGCCGACGTACCTGTGGAAGCGCGGGGTGCCGACTTACGGCTTCGGCTACGTGCTGCGCATGTTCCCGCGCATTATTGTGGTGACGACAGGGTCGGGCATCGGGCCCTGTCTTTCTTTTATTGACGATGAAAACCGGCCCGAGATGCGGGTTGTCTGGCAGACCAAGTCGCCGCTGCAGACATATGGGCCGCGGACGATAGATTTAGTCCGGAGGATGGACCCCGATCCTGTCATTCTTGATACGTCACTGACGGGGCGGGTGGATATGCTGCCGATTGTGTTGAGGCTGTACAAGGAGTTCAACGCCGAGGCGGTTTGTGTGATTAGCAACCCAAAGATGACCAAGAGTATCGTGTATGGGCTGGAAACGAGGGGTGTTCCGGCGTACGGGCCGATTTTTGATAGTTAATTAGATGTTGGATTTTGGGTATATTGTATTGGCTGGCGTAGGATATGCGATGGGTTTGGGCACAGTGATTAGGTGGTTGTATATATTATACCCGTTTTGTTTTATCTCAATTGGAGTTATTTCACGTTCACATCATTGAAAAAGCACCCCTTCTCGGCTTTGACAAGTATTTCCTTGTCTCCCTAGCGAGACACATGAGGTACAGAGAGCTTGATTGACTGTCTAGACGGGCCTGACGGCAATGGGCATCGCCCAGGCTAAGTACCCAGACTCTACGTGGCACGTGCAGGGAGAGGTCGCAGTACCTGCGGCCCCCCCCCTGCAGTGCCCTGCCCTGGCTCCGCCATCTCCGGATTCAACACTCCCCGACAAGAGAGGTGTTATTTGAATCAGGAGGTCATCCATCTCAAGCCGGTATTCAGGCAAGTTTCGAGCATTCTCCCCTGGCCTTCCTCGTTTGATTTGCACACTACTAAACACCTCCTCCATTTTTGGCATGCACTTCTCTCAACACAGTCTTGTTTATTTGGTCCAGCACAGAGCCATTGACACGATTCCACATGAGACTCGAGTGTTCAGTTAACCCACAAATGATTCCATCAATGCCAAGAAATATTAGAAATCAGAAGATTGCTAATCACCAGGGACTCTCCAATTGGCTCACCCCAGACATTCAATCGCAGTGCGGGCCCGACACACTCTGCGTCATGCGCTTGCCGATCACCATCGACCCGACCACCACTGGTGTTAGTAATACCATCTCCGGCTCTGATATAAAAAACCACTTCAACAGCCTAGCCAACACCCAGTTCACCAGAAACCAAGCCAGCCATCCACCTCGCAAACCCCTCCCAAGACCCCCAAAATGGCAACAACCGGCACCTTCCGGTACTTCGACCCCGCGTCGCTGACCACCACCCCCTCGGGCGACCCCATCAAGCCTTGGGCCAAGGTCGACACCGACGCCGCCGCTTCATACACGCAGACTGAGCGCACGCGGCCCGTGTCCAACATCCGCGACGCCGCCCCGGGCGCCTTCGGCACCGACGTCTCGGGTTTCGCGCTGCATCACGCCCCCGCCACTACTAAGGTCTTCACCGCCGATCCCGCCGCCGTGGGCGCCGAATACTACCCCGAGGTCGAGGCGCTGCTGCGCGCCCAGCTACCGGGGATCAAGAAGGTCGTCATCTTCGACCACACCATCCGCCGCCACGACAAGTCGTCCCCGCGCCAGCCTGTCCAGCTGGTACACGTCGACCAGACGCCCGCGGCCGCTGCGGCCCGAGTGCGGCGGCATGTGAGCGATGCGGAAGAGGCCGACGAGTTGTTGCAAGGGCGGTATCAGATTGTTAATGTCTGGCGGCCGATTGGGCACGCTGCGACGGACTTCCCGCTCGCGCTGGTCGACTGGCGGAGTACGGTGCCTGCGGATCTGGTCAAGGTGGATCTGCTGTACCCCGTGCGGCACGGGGATGAGGACTGGAGTGATGATCGCGGCAAGGAGGCGCTGGCAGACCCGGGGAGTGTGACGTCGACGGCGG